AAGTTTTCTTTGGAATATATTTAAAATATAAGATAGAAAAATGGCACACACCAAATCGTACTGCCAGATGTGGCATTCTTCCATTGTCTCTGTAGTTTCATTTTTTCCCCCTTTTTAGCCAAACAAATGCTTTGCTATTAGGATCAAAATTCTCAAGCAGGATTACTGCAGTGTGTCTATATGGAAGTATTACTAATAAATACCACTAAGTTATACACGTTTCTATTTTGAGACGCAAACTTATCACATTTTGGGTTCTGAATACTACCTAAGGGTTTCCTTTGAAATCTTGGAAATAATCTTTTATGTATTTTTTTTAATTTACCCAAAAGTGATTTTATCTAAAATGAGGTAGTTGCTTCATCAGTATCATTCATGCTTTCAAAAACTAGAGGTATCACGCCAAAATCTAAACCTTTTTTTGTTCTGTGCTCACCTGTTTAAGATGTTGATAACAAAACACTAAGATATTTTCTTTTATTTGAGAAAAAATTAATGTAAAAAGACAAATGACAAGTATCATGAAGGGATGAGGTGCTCGTCTTCAGGCCATGGAGCCATTCTCACTGGGGACATCAAAGTACTCATTGGGGACATCAAAGTCAAACTGACAGACAGTCTACAATGTTTGACATCTTACTTTAATAAGTAGCAACTAGAGTCTGAAAAACTTTCAAAAAAAAAAAAAAAACTTTCCAGCACCCACATAACGTGCAACTATTGGTGTTTCTCTGTTTCAAACAAAGGAGAGAAGAAAGGTAAACATGTACTGAAATAATTAGTCACAAGGGCTTATGGCCAAAGAGAATCTGAACCTTCTTGATCCTGAGACCAGAAGAAGTAGATGGTGCCCTGCAACTGCCAATGAATAAGCAAAAGGGATCACAGTAGATCCTTGATGAAACGGAAAGAAATGTGGAACTAAACTGAAAAATATACTAGTTCAGTAAGAAAATGGTGGAACCCCTGAGACCATGGTCTTTAATCACCTTTCAACATAAAACAAAACCCATCCCCATAGTTTAGCTTCCAGCCAAACAACAGACAGACCTAGACCAAACCAAATCGACCGCCATAGATTCTGACTCAAAGACTGTCCCTTCATTGGGTTTCCAATACTACAAATTTCTCCAGGAATAAACTGTTCACCTTACTCCCACAAAGCGACCCATGTTTGCAACCCAAAACCTGGGGTGGACAACAGCACCAGAGAGGCACTCACTCCTAAGAATGGTCAACCTAAGCGGGAGGGTGGGGGGGAAGACAGCAGGATTTGCCCAAGAATAAAGCCCAGAAAGCAGGAATAGGTAGAAGAGAACGGTTAATGGACATGAGAATCACAGAGAGGAAATGGGAAGAATGCAATCACACTGTGGTTATAATGATACATAAACAATGCATCAGAATGGCTGAAGGGAAAACCAATCTGCTTCCACTCAAATCACAATATGGTAATATGAAACTAAAGACTTGCGATAATTCTTTTTTTAAGAACTTTTTGCTTTCAAAAAAAATCTTTCAAGACGGTGACTCCTTTATGGTTTGGGGACTCCCTCCTAATGGGCTTGAAATTACTCTGTTACAAGAGTCATTCAATCTATTACAGCGATCCCTAGACAGCACTATCACAGCTCAGGTGCCCCCCTCTCCCTACGACACAAGGCCAGTTAAGTCTCTCGAGAGGTGGATCTTACAACAACTCAAATGGTCCTAACACTTTCTGCAGACTCGAAAGCGGAGGAGAAAACAAAGAAGTTCCTGGGTAACTAGGATCTCTAACACTGGACGTTAAGGGGGAGCGCAGAGAATGACAATAGGGAATGCAGGTGGGAGCCGCGAACAGAACGGGCCACAAAGAGTGGGAGCCAGGGAGAACTCGCTCGCTCGGGCCGCACAGGCCCCCCACCCCAGCACCTCTACCCTCCCAGTCCTCCCCATCCGCTCTCCTGCGGGGGGTTCTCACGTACCTCCAGCTCCAGCTCCTCCGCCGGCTCCCAGCGCGGCAGCCATAGTGCCTGCTCGGACTGGCCTTCAACCTCGCCCCACCAACCCAGCTGGCGGGCAGACGGGCCTGGTCCCGAGACCAGGGAAGGTCGAACACGAACAGAAAGGGGAAGGGATTGTGAGCCAGGACTGGACGGGGAGGGAGGAGAGGGGAGAGGCCGGACGGCTCCTTGTCCACACCGGCCTCTTCTCCTCTACGGGAGGGAAAGAAAAAAAAAAAAAAAAAAGCCAAAAAACAACAAACTATCTTAACATGGCCGCTGCCTTGGCTCCCGCCCCCGCCGCAGTGCACCCTGGGATAATGGAGGCCCGGAGGCCAGTGAAGGGGCGCGCGCGCGGAGTGACTGATAACGCGGGCACCCGTAAGGGGCGTGGAAAAGGGAGGCTTCCCGGCTATGGAGCGTCGGTGGCTGTCTTCTTCTACCACAGAGCGCCGGCGTTCAAATCTCTTCCCGGTCCCCTCAAGGCGACTGTCAAAGGAAAGAAAACGGTCGGCAGAGCTGTTTGTCGCTATCAGAATCTCTCCGGTTCGGTCCCAAAGATTCTAATGTTTAAAGAAAAAGAAGACGGCGTTGCTAGCCGTACTTTGAGTCTGGGTTCCTGTCGTAAGCCTTTTGCAGCAGTGGGTGCTGGGCTTTACGACTGGCGTGTCACCTGTTGTAAGTGGACTTCAGGAAACAGCACAAATGTCCATCAACAAAGGCTGGGTTGAGAAATTTCGGTACAGTCACACGATGAAATACTATGCAGCAATCAGGAGCAATGATTTCGAAAAATAAAATGTGGGAGAGGCTAGAGAGCATTATGCTGAGTGAGCTAACACAGGCCCATAAGGACAACACTGCATAAGACTATTGTTGTGAAAACAGAAGGATAACTAATTAGATGTCTCTGAATATCCAGAGGAAGGGAGGGTCACGTGGTCACCGAGTTTGGTGGGTGAAGGATTGATTGCTGGTAGCTACTAAAATCCTTTCGCCATACCTATCAGTGCGTATACAGAGCAAATAATTTGAAAACCTGGATTTTATGAAGGAGAGTATGTCATCAGGATCTGAGAAATACTAACAGTTCGTACTATGCAGATGACACAATCTTGCTGTGAGGAGGACTTGAAACTTAACTGCAGAAGATCAGAGACTACATACAACCTTCAATATGGATTACATCTCAACATCAAGAAAATAAAAATCTTCACCCCTAGGCCATTAGGCAACATCACAATAGATGGAGAGAAGATTAAAATTGTCAACGATTTAAACTTACTTGGATCCACAATCAGCATCCAGGGTACCAGCAGTTAGGAAATAAAAAATCGTGTTGCATTGGGGAAAACCAAGATGTGCCTGATACAAATGATGGTCTTTTAAATTACTTGCTATGCATCTGAAAGTTGGGCAGTGATGAGGAGGGCAGGAAAAGAATTTATGTCTTTGAGTTGTGTTGAAGAAACTTACTGAATGTCCCATGGACTGTCAAAAAAATACCTTGGACAAGGTACAACTAGAGTACCTCTTAGAAGCAAAAATAGTAAAACTTCACCTCATGTATTTTGGGCATGTTATGAGGGGCCAGTCCCTGGGAAATGACATTATACTTGGAAAGATTGAGAGTAAAGAAGGCAACACCCTCAATAGGATGGATTGTTGCAGTGGCTGTAACAATAAGCTAAAGTATATCAGAGATGACGAGGATGGCATGTAATAGGGCAGGGTTCCTATTGTTCATAGGTCACTATGAGTCATAATGAACTCTGTGGCACCTAACAACAGCTAAAAGCAAGAGATAGAGACCTTCCTCAAGAAATGATGCCTCCATTCAAACTTCTACCTTCCCAAACCTGTGAGAAAATAAGACTCTGTCCTTGAAAGCCACTCATTTGTAGTATTTATTACAGCAGCTGGGGAATACCAAGACATTTAAAGGGAAGTTCTAAACATCTAGTGTTCTGGGCAGCCTGGAGTGTGCCTTGGAGTCAAGGATGGTGAAACCGTTTCACATACTTGGGGCATGTTGTCAGGAAGGGCCAGTCCTTGGAGAAAGGATATCATACTACGAAAGGCTGTGAGTCAGAGAAAGAGATCATCAGAGAACATAAGAATGATGCAGGATATGGCAAGTTGCAGATCTGTTGTTCTTAGGGTTGCTATGAGTTGTAGGCAACTTGATGGCACCTAAAAACAACAATGGCTTAATTTGTATGGAGTTGCACTACTAAAGGAGGCACCTCTCTGACAATTCAAATCCACCAGCAACGCTGTGGAAGAAAATTGAGCAGTCTCCTCCTGTGCCATTTACAGCCCCAGAAACCTACTGGAGAGTTACTCATGAGTTGGAGTTTTTACTGAAAAATTAAGTAAAGAAAGAAGAACCTTCTTTTCTTTCTCCCTACTGATAGTTTTCATTCACTTTGGAACAACATTCTGTTGACTTAGAAAGTTGAGGAAAGTGGAATGTCACATGTGTTACAAATAAGCATTATTTGTGGGAAGAAATGACCTTTAATCTGCATTTTGCTTTGGCTTTAAAAAGACTCAATAATATTTAAACATTTGGTGAGAAACAATGCCCCTGCCAGTCCACTGTGCAATGCACCTCTTGTTCCAGACTGTTGTCATACGTATAATACCTAATCCTATCATTCCAAATACATTTTATAAGAGACACAAACGCAGGTTATACACATGGACTTCACCTGATGGTATGCATAGGAATCATATCAACTACATCTGTGGAAGGAACCGCTGGAGAAGCTCAATATCAGCTGTGAAAACTAGGCCGGGGGCTGATTGTGGAACAGACCACCAATTACTCATATGTA